GACTCAAAATTTTTGTCCTATTTCCGACGCACTCTTTGGAACAGATTTCAAAAAAATTTATTACAAGATGTCACGAGGTAAAGGGATTCACATTAACTATAATGAAAGTTTTCCTGAGGTATGTACTATTCGAAAATCAGAGTTTGTTGATTTTAAGATATATATGGAATAAAAAAATTGAAGATTTAGATCACACTTTGAAGCAAAATTCAACAAAACTGTCTGCAATGGAATGTCAATCTCGTTGTCAAACTGGTCAGAAACAAAATGACTTCTGTAATCTCTCATAGGCAACCTTATCCAATGATACAGGAAGCTCAAAACGTAGATCTGATTATGATAATTGCAAAGATTCTCGAATGAAAATTGATTTACCTAATTTTAATGGACATTTTAAAATAAGAGAATTTATGAATTAGATTTCTGAAGTTGATGTCACATTGGACATAAACTCTGAATTTGGGCCCATTTATCCAAATTTTAGGTCATAAAAGCCCTAAAAAAGCCCTAAAAAAGGAGCCCACATATGTCACCAGTGGGCTGAAGATCTGAAAAGTAATACTTATTTTCTACTTTTATGTCTTTTTTCTTCTAAAAGGTACTTTATTTCTCTTTCCTTCCATCTAAAGACTTTAATGCCGTTCAGTCTGTACCTAAGATCTGTTCAGGACCTCTGACTGTCAGAGTCTGTACCTAAGGTCTATTTTAAGTCATTTCAGAGTTAGTAACGTGAAATATAAATAAGATATGCGCTTGAATCCACAAAACTTCAATCTTGGGGAAGAAACATGTCTCTTGATGCAGCCCAAATCCTGAAACCCATTACTGAACAACCCTGAAGCCCAATATTGATCCACTTTGAAGCCCATTACTATTGCAGCCTTTCAAGCCCACTTTACTTGATGCACCTCGAAGCCCATTACTGTTGCAGCTTCAAGCCCACTTTACTTAACTGGCACAATTACGAAATTAGGCTCAATCACGTAAAATTTATATTCTAAATTAAAATTTTCATTTGAAATTCAAATTTCATCCGAAATTTAAATTTCAGTCAAATTTTGTTTTCATTTCAAATTCAAATTCAAATCTTGGCGCCCAAATAAAGACTCCTTAGCCTATTGAAAGGTACCCAGGCCCAGAGGGATATTACCTTTTTTCAATAAAATTTCGTGAGTTTTCTTCCCTTGAAGTTCTCATCTTCTGCTGGGTGATTCCAGCAACCCGGTGAACTCAAGGAACCTGTTCTTGATTCTGTGGATTCGGAATCACCCCCCTTGTGGACTCAAGGGACTTGTCCTCTTCAACTTGGTGATTCAGAGCAAAAGGACAACCATTGGAACACGCTTTTTGAGGATTCAAAATGTGTCTTCGACCCCCACAAGATCAGCGCTGATCATAACTCGTCCTAGCCATTCCTTCCTCAAGTTTCGCTGCATCAAGTGGTATCAGGCTAATTCCAAAAAAGGTTGAAGGTATCAAAGTAGATGAAGAAAGGTTAAAAGTGGATCATGGCTTAAAGACTGGCCAATTCTAAAAAATATACATGATGTTCATAGTTTTCATGGCTTAGCATTTTTCTTTTATAGAAGATTTATTTGAAATTTTAATTCAATTCTAACTCCGATCACTGAGTGCATGAGAAGAGGAAACTTTCAGTGGGCAGAGGCAGCAGATAGAAGTTTTATTTTAATTATAGAAAGGTTAAGTTCCGCCTCTATACTAGCACTGCTAAATTTTGATAAATTATTGGCGGTAGACTGTGTTGCCTCAATTACTCTAGAAAGGTTGTCTAGTACCTTTTCATAGTGAGAAACTAACAAAAGCTAGAAGAAAATGGACTACATGTCAATTATAAATTTTATACTGTGGTTAGATCATTACATACTTGGGAACATTACTTGATTTAACGAGAACTTCTTTTATTTACTGGCCATCAACCTTTGAAATCAGTCACCAGTCAGACAACTATCAACGGAATGCATGTTAGATGGATTTCAATTATTCAAAAGTTTTCTTTTGTGATAAAATATAAATCAGGAAAATCAAAAAAAGCGGCTGATGCACTGAGCCAAAAATCAGCATTTCTGACTACAATATGAGGAGAAGTTAGTAGTTTTGAACATATGACAGAACTCTATCCAGGAGATGAAAAATTTGCTGAAATATAGTATATGTGCAAACAATGCAAACCATCTAAAGGGTTTCACATTCTTGAAGATTACATATTTCGAGAAAATCAGTTACGTATCCCTCGAACTTTGTCGCGTGAGAAGTTAATTCGAGAATTACATGCAGGAGGCCTTGGGGGGCACTTAGGTTGTGACAAGACTTTGAAAATGATGGATGAACGATATTATTGGCCACAGCTCAAAAAAGAAGCCGAAAGTTTTGTGCGAAGATGTCAAACTTGTCAAGCTAATAAAAGACAGTGCTTGAACACAGGTCTGTACACTCCACTACACACTCCAGATAAAGTACGCACTGACATTTCTGTGGATTTTATTTTCGGATTACCACGTACCTAAAGAGGAGCAGATTCTGCCTTTGTGGTTGTGGATAGATTTTCAAAGATGGCACATTTTATTTCATACAAAAAGGCTATTGATGCCATTCAAGTAGCAAATTTATTTTTCAAGAAAATAGTTTGTTTGCATGGAGTGCCTAGGACTATTACATCTGACAGAGACTCAAGGGACCTATCCTCCTCACCCTGTGGATTCCAAGTGAAAGGACAATCATTGGAGTGCGTTTTTCGAGGATTCAAGACGTGTCTTCGACCTCCACAACATCAAAGCTGATAACAACTCATTCAAGTCATTGCCTCCTCAAGTTTCTCTGCGTTACGTGGTACCAGAGCAGGGTCTGTGTTCCACATTTAGATTTACAAGATGACACGAGGTTAAGGGATTCACATCAATGACAATGAAAGTGCTGATCTCAAGATTCATATGGAATAAAAATTTGAAGATTTGAATGGCACTTTGAAGCAAACCTTAGCACGAATGTGTGCAATGGAACTTTAATCTTGTGGTCAAATTAGTCAAAAATAAAATGATTTCTGTAATCTCTCACAAGAAAATATATCTAATGATACAAGAAGCTCAAAAGTAAATCTGATTATGATGATTGTAGAGATTTTCGAATGAAAATTGATTTGCCTCGTTTTAATGGACATTTGAGAATCGAAGAATTTCTTGATTGTATTTTAGAAGTTGAGAGATTTTTTGAATATATGAAGATTTCTAATGAGAAATATGTGAAAATAGTTGTCGATAAACTCAAAGATGGAGCCTCTGCCTGGTGGGATCAGCTATATAATCCACCCGTGCAAGATCAGAAAAATATCAAGTGCAGATGCCATAGATCAAATCAAATGCTTGTCCAAAACGTAGTGCTGTGAATTTCACAGAGGCCATAGATGAAGATGAAATTGAAGGTGCAGAAGATGAAGAAGAAATTCAAGAGAATGTTATTGAAGGTGAAGAAGAAGTCTTTGGTCAATGTCTAGCCGTTCAAAGGCTGAAGAATGTATCAAAGAAGGAAGAACTTCCCCAGCGACATAATGTTTTCAGAACAAAATGCACTGTTGTTGGAAAGGTATGTGACGTGATTATTGATTCTGGCAGTAGTGAAAATATTTTTCTTCTTTGATGGTACAGAAATTTGGGCTGAAAACTGAAAAGCATAGACTTAGGTGGATAAAAAAGGATTATGAAACCAGAGTTACAGAGACCTGTTTCGTTAAGTTCTCAATGAGAAAAATTTATTTTGATGAAATTTACTGTGATGTTGTCGAGATGGATGCCTGTCATCTAATTTTGGGTAGATCATAGCAACATGATTTAGGTACAACTCACATGGGCAGAGATAATCATTATGTTTTTTAAAAAACATGGTGAGAAGTTTGTTTTACGCCCAATAAAAGAAAATGAGTTTTTCAGCACAGTTAAAGAAGAGAAGAAATAAGTTTCTTTGAATACTTTGAAAATGAACCTTTTAATACTTTGAAAGAAAATTCTGGAGTATGTATGCTGGTTAAAAAAGAGAATGTTTCATCGCATGATTCTGATGTTATACCTGAGGCAGCACAGAATATGTTAAATGAGTTTTCTATCTTTCAAGATTCTCCTATAATAAATCTTCCTCCGCTCCGAGATATACAACATCATATAGACTTGATTTCTAGAGTAAGTTTGCCAAATTTACCTCTTTACAGAATGAGCCTTGAGGAGAAAAAGATTTTGGAAGAACAAGTTGAAGAGCTATTAGAGAAATGATTAATTCGTGAAAGCATGAGCCCATGCTCAGTACCTGTATTATTAGTTCCAAAAAAAGATGGAACCTGGCGAAGGTGTGTAGATAGTCGAGCAATTAATAAAATCACAGTGAAATATAATTTTTTAATTCCAAGTCTTGATGATATGCTTGACATGCTGTGTGGTTCTAGAATCTTTTCTAAAATTGAACTTAAAAGTGGATATCATCAAATTCGAATTCATCCAGGTGATGAACGGAATACCACTTTCAAGACGAAAGCAGGATTATATGAATGATTGGTTATGTCATTTAGCTTATCTAATGCTCCGAGTACCTTTATGCGAATGATGAATTAGGTACTAAAGCTTTTCATTGGAAAATTTATTGTTGCCTATTCTGATGATATTTTGATATACAGTACCACTGAGGAAGAACATCACCATCATTTGAGATCTGTACCGACTGTTTTACAACAAAATGGGTTATTTGCCAACTTGAAGAAATGTAAATTTCTTACTTCAAGTTTAGTTTTTCTGGGATATATTGTAAGTTCAGATGATATCAAAGTGGATGAAGAAAAAGTTGAAGCTATGAAAGAGTACCCAATTCCAAATAATGTATATGGTGTCGTTGTTTTCATGGCTTAGCATCCTTGGGAGCACTACCTGATTCAACGGGAGTTTATTTTATTTACTGACCATCAAGCTTTGAAATCAGTCAACAGTCAAACCACTATCAACATGATGCATTGTAGATGGATTTCATTTATTCAAAAGTTTTCTTTTCTGATAAAGCACAAATCACGAAAATCAGACAAAGTGGCTGATGCACTAAGCCGGAAATCAGCATTTCTGATTACAATGAGAGAAGTTAGTGGTTTTGAATATCTGACAGAACACTATGCAGGAGATGAAGATTTTGCTGAAATATGGTATATGTGCAAACAAGGGAAATCATTTAAAGCATTTCACATTCTTGAAGATCACTTATTTCGAGAAAATCAGTTATGTATCCCTCGAACTTCCTTGCGTGAGAAGTTAATTCGAGAATTACATGCAGGAGGATTTGGGGGGCACCTAAGTCGTGACAAGACTTTGAAAATGACGGAGGAACGATATTGTTAGCCACATCTTAAAAAAGAAGTTGAAAGTTTTTGTGCGAAGATGTCACATTTGTCAAGCTAATAAAAATGACACTGCCAGAACACAGGTCTGTACACTCCACTACCCATTCCAGATAAGCATGGACTAACATTTCTACGAATTCTATTTTCAGATTACCACGTACCCAAAGAGGAACAGATTCTGTTCTTGTGGCTGTGGATAGATTCTTCAAGATGGCACATTTTACTTCATAGAAAAAGACTAATGATGCCATTCAAGTAGCAAATTTATTTCTCAAGGAAATAGTTAATTTGCGTGGAGTGCCTAAGACTATTACATCTGACAGAGACTCAAAATTTTTGTCCTATTTCCGACGCACTCTTTGGAACAGATTTCAAAAAAATTTATTACAAGATGTCACGAGGTAAAGGGATTCACATTAACTATAATGAAAGTTTTCCTGAGGTATGTACTATTCGAAAATCAGAGTTTGTTGATTTTAAGATATATATGGAATAAAAAAATTGAAGATTTAGATCACACTTTGAAGCAAAATTCAACAAAACTGTCTGCAATGGAATGTCAATCTCGTTGTCAAACTGGTCAGAAACAAAATGACTTCTGTAATCTCTCATAGGCAACCTTATCCAATGATACAGGAAGCTCAAAACGTAGATCTGATTATGATAATTGCAAAGATTCTCGAATGAAAATTGATTTACCTAATTTTAATGGACATTTTAAAATAAGAGAATTTATGAATTAGATTTCTGAAGTTGATGTCACATTGGACATAAACTCTGAATTTGGGCCCATTTATCCAAATTTTAGGTCATAAAAGCCCTAAAAAAGCCCTAAAAAAGGAGCCCACATATGTCACCAGTGGGCTGAAGATCTGAAAAGTAATACTTATTTTCTACTTTTATGTCTTTTTTCTTCTAAAAGGTACTTTATTTCTCTTTCCTTCCATCTAAAGACTTTAATGCCGTTCAGTCTGTACCTAAGATCTGTTCAGGACCTCTGACTGTCAGAGTCTGTACCTAAGGTCTATTTTAAGTCATTTCAGAGTTAGTAACGTGAAATATAAATAAGATATGCGCTTGAATCCACAAAACTTCAATCTTGGGGAAGAAACATGTCTCTTGATGCAGCCCAAATCCTGAAACCCATTACTGAACAACCCTGAAGCCCAATATTGATCCACTTTGAAGCCCATTACTATTGCAGCCTTTCAAGCCCACTTTACTTGATGCACCTCGAAGCCCATTACTGTTGCAGCTTCAAGCCCACTTTACTTAACTGGCACAATTACGAAATTAGGCTCAATCACGTAAAATTTATATTCTAAATTAAAATTTTCATTTGAAATTCAAATTTCATCCGAAATTTAAATTTCAGTCAAATTTTGTTTTCATTTCAAATTCAAATTCAAATCTTGGCGCCCAAATAAAGACTCCTTAGCCTATTGAAAGGTACGCCCAGGCCCAGAGGGATATTACCTTTTTTCAATAAAATTTCGTGAGTTTTCTTCCCTTGAAGTTCTCATCTTCTGCTGGGTGATTCCAGCAACCCGGTGAACTCAAGGAACCTGTTCTTGATTCTGTGGATTCGGAATCACCCCCCTTGTGGACTCAAGGGACTTGTCCTCTTCAACTTGGTGATTCAGAGCAAAAGGACAACCATTGGAACACGCTTTTTGAGGATTCAAAATGTGTCTTCGACCCCCACAAGATCAGCGCTGATCATAACTCGTCCTAGCCATTCCTTCCTCAAGTTTCGCTGCATCAAGTGGTATCAGGCTAATTCCAAAAAAGGTTGAAGGTATCAAAGTAGATGAAGAAAGGTTAAAAGTGGATCATGGCTTAAAGACTGGCCAATTCTAAAAAATATACATGATGTTCATAGTTTTCATGGCTTAGCATTTTTCTTTTATAGAAGATTTATTTGAAATTTTAATTCAATTCTAACTCCGATCACTGAGTGCATGAGAAGAGGAAACTTTCAGTGGGCAGAGGCAGCAGATAGAAGTTTTATTTTAATTATAGAAAGGTTAAGTTCCGCCTCTATACTAGCACTGCTAAATTTTGATAAATTATTGGCGGTAGACTGTGTTGCCTCAATTACTCTAGAAAGGTTGTCTAGTACCTTTTCATAGTGAGAAACTAACAAAAGCTAGAAGAAAATGGACTACATGTCAATTATAAATTTTATACTGTGGTTAGATCATTACATACTTGGGAACATTACTTGATTTAATGAGAACTTCTTTTATTTACTGGCCATCAACCTTTGAAATCAGTCACCAGTCAGACAACTATCAACGGAATGCATGTTAGATGGATTTCAATTATTCAAAAGTTTTCTTTTGTGATAAAATATAAATCAGGAAAATCAAAAAAAGCGGCTGATGCACTGAGCCAAAAATCAGCATTTCTGACTACAATATGAGGAGAAGTTAGTAGTTTTGAACATATGACAGAACTCTATCCAGGAGATGAAAAATTTGCTGAAATATAGTATATGTGCAAACAATGCAAACCATCTAAAGGGTTTCACATTCTTGAAGATTACATATTTCGAGAAAATCAGTTACGTATCCCTCGAACTTTGTCGCGTGAGAAGTTAATTCGAGAATTACATGCAGGAGGCCTTGGGGGGCACTTAGGTTGTGACAAGACTTTGAAAATGATGGATGAACGATATTATTGGCCACAGCTCAAAAAAGAAGCCGAAAGTTTTGTGCGAAGATGTCAAACTTGTCAAGCTAATAAAAGACAGTGCTTGAACACAGGTCTGTACACTCCACTACACACTCCAGATAAAGTACGCACTGACATTTCTGTGGATTTTATTTTCGGATTACCACGTACCTAAAGAGGAGCAGATTCTGCCTTTGTGGTTGTGGATAGATTTTCAAAGATGGCACATTTTATTTCATACAAAAAGGCTATTGATGCCATTCAAGTAGCAAATTTATTTTTCAAGAAAATAGTTTGTTTGCATGGAGTGCCTAGGACTATTACATCTGACAGAGACTCAAGGGACCTATCCTCCTCACCCTGTGGATTCCAAGTGAAAGGACAATCATTGGAGTGCGTTTTTCGAGGATTCAAGACGTGTCTTCGACCTCCACAACATCAAAGCTGATAACAACTCATTCAAGTCATTGCCTCCTCAAGTTTCTCTGCGTTACGTGGTACCAGAGCAGGGTCTGTGTTCCACATTTAGATTTACAAGATGACACGAGGTTAAGGGATTCACATCAATGACAATGAAAGTGCTGATCTCAAGATTCATATGGAATAAAAATTTGAAGATTTGAATGGCACTTTGAAGCAAACCTTAGCACGAATGTGTGCAATGGAACTTTAATCTTGTGGTCAAATTAGTCAAAAATAAAATGATTTCTGTAATCTCTCACAAGAAAATATATCTAATGATACAAGAAGCTCAAAAGTAAATCTGATTATGATGATTGTAGAGATTTTCGAATGAAAATTGATTTGCCTCGTTTTAATGGACATTTGAGAATCGAAGAATTTCTTGATTGTATTTTAGAAGTTGAGAGATTTTTTGAATATATGAAGATTTCTAATGAGAAATATGTGAAAATAGTTGTCGATAAACTCAAAGATGGAGCCTCTGCCTGGTGGGATCAGCTATATAATCCACCCGTGCAAGATCAGAAAAATATCAAGTGCAGATGCCATAGATCAAATCAAATGCTTGTCCAAAACGTAGTGCTGTGAATTTCACAGAGGCCATAGATGAAGATGAAATTGAAGGTGCAGAAGATGAAGAAGAAATTCAAGAGAATGTTATTGAAGGTGAAGAAGAAGTCTTTGGTCAATGTCTAGCCGTTCAAAGGCTGAAGAATGTATCAAAGAAGGAAGAACTTCCCCAGCGACATAATGTTTTCAGAACAAAATGCACTGCTGTTGGAAAGGTATGTGACGTGATTATTGATTCTGGCAGTAGTGAAAATATTTTTCTTCTTTGATGGTACAGAAATTTGGGCTGAAAACTGAAAAGCATAGACTTAGGTGGATAAAAAAGGATTATGAAACCAGAGTTACAGAGACCTGTTTCGTTAAGTTCTCAATGAGAAAAATTTATTTTGATGAAATTTACTGTGATGTTGTCGAGATGGATGCCTGTCATCTAATTTTGGGTAGATCATAGCAACATGATTTAGGTACAACTCACATGGGCAGAGATAATCATTATGTTTTTTAAAAAACATGGTGAGAAGTTTGTTTTACGCCCAATAAAAGAAAATGAGTTTTTCAGCACAGTTAAAGAAGAGAAGAAATAAGTTTCTTTGAATACTTTGAAAATGAACCTTTTAATACTTTGAAAGAAAATTCTGGAGTATGTATGCTGGTTAAAAAAGAGAATGTTTCATCGCATGATTCTGATGTTATACCTGAGGCAGCACAGAATATGTTAAATGAGTTTTCTATCTTTCAAGATTCTCCTATAATAAATCTTCCTCCGCTCCGAGATATACAACATCATATAGACTTGATTTCTAGAGTAAGTTTGCCAAATTTACCTCTTTACAGAATGAGCCTTGAGGAGAAAAAGATTTTGGAAGAACAAGTTGAAGAGCTATTAGAGAAATGATTAATTCGTGAAAGCATGAGCCCATGCTCAGTACCTGTATTATTAGTTCCAAAAAAAGATGGAACCTGGCGAAGGTGTGTAGATAGTCGAGCAATTAATAAAATCACAGTGAAATATAATTTTTTAATTCCAAGTCTTGATGATATGCTTGACATGCTGTGTGGTTCTAGAATCTTTTCTAAAATTGAACTTAAAAGTGGATATCATCAAATTCGAATTCATCCAGGTGATGAACGGAATACCACTTTCAAGACGAAAGCAGGATTATATGAATGATTGGTTATGTCATTTAGCTTATCTAATGCTCCGAGTACCTTTATGCGAATGATGAATTAGGTACTAAAGCTTTTCATTGGAAAATTTATTGTTGCCTATTCTGATGATATTTTGATATACAGTACCACTGAGGAAGAACATCACCATCATTTGAGATCTGTACCGACTGTTTTACAACAAAATGGGTTATTTGCCAACTTGAAGAAATGTAAATTTCTTACTTCAAGTTTAGTTTTTCTGGGATATATTGTAAGTTCAGATGATATCAAAGTGGATGAAGAAAAAGTTGAAGCTATGAAAGAGTACCCAATTCCAAATAATGTATATGGTGTCGTTGTTTTCATGGCTTAGCATCCTCAGTGGCTTATTCCAAATAATCTAAGAACATAGAGAACATAGGTGAGAGGAATACTCAGGGTAATAACATAGTGGATGATGAGGGGTAGGTTGGTACGATGATAAAATAGTGGGTGTGCCGGTCATATGAATGGAGGCCCCCAAGTCAATAATCTACGGTGAAGACGAAAATACAAAGAGGGGGTGTGTGTACCTAACGTGGAAGAATTCAGAAGCGAGGCTAGATTGACTGAAGAATGAGCCATGGTACCATAAGAGTGGTGTAATGCTTCAGACTCGACGGAGGTCAATGTCACTTGAAAAGTCAGAGATGGGACACTAGATGGCACTGGAGAAGCTAGTGAACGAGCTAGGAGAGCCGGTTGGACAAAGTTGTCCTGATCCGCAGAATGAAGAGATTTCGCCCCTTGAGTTCACAAGGAGTTGATCCTTAGTCCACAAGATCAAAAATGACTTCTTGTGTCCATAGAGATACTAAAATCCACCAGCAGAAAGGGAGAACCTTTAAAAGGAAGGGAACTCGAAATTGATTGATAAAAACGTGCCTCTTGAGGCTACAAGGGGGGACCTCTTTATAGGCCGAAAATTAGTTATAACTAACCTATAAAGTGGGAAATCTATTATGATCTTAGAAAATAGGAAGAAGAAAATAGATTAAACCTTCTTATGAAACGGGAGGATTATGTTAGAAGACTCCTAAGAAATAAGAACACCCAAAACAGAATAGGGGGATTATTTTACATGAATAAACTGTACGAATTGTAAGATTTAGGTTCACAAAACATGTGACCAAATATCTTAGTGGGTCATTTGAAACTGAATTTGGGCAAAAGATAGTCTTTATGTCTTTGGAGTCTTTGATTCACTTGAATTAGTGTAAAACTTCATTACACTTGATTTCATTACTTTTAGTCTTTTTCGACGCAGATCTTATTGGTTCCTCGACCTAGGTCAAAAACTTTTCATTTCTCATTTGACAACAGTTTCCAGGTTACATCATTCTCTCCTACTTGAGAAATTTATTTATTGTTTTAATATTTGAACTATGTACTGGTTGAAAGTATGAGTTTGTATTCATATAGTACCCTCTATCTGTAGTTGTAACTACTTATATGCATAAAAACATAGTTGAGTTGAACCTCGACTTTATGCTGAAATTCATTCCACCAACTTGAGTTATGTCATTTATCCTCGAAAATTCATTGGATTGTTTGATTGATGCTATTAGTTGCTCTGGCAGTGAAAATAATTACTTTTCTTCGTTATACAAAATATTCAGCATGATCCAACTATCCATATAGTCAATATGTTCAAATATAAACTTACAAGGTATTGTTGAGCCTGCTGGATTAGTGACACCCACTGTATAAATAATGTTGTCACTCATTTTCTTTAAAGTAAATTTTACTTCTTTTGAATTCAAACTTTTCGAATCAATTCCACTTTCATTTTTTTGATCTTTTTCTTCTACTGTCTTTTTTGTGTCTGAAAAACTTGTGAGAGAACAAAATGTGAACTTTTGAGCATCTCTATAAAATACATATTAATTTTTTCTGGAATTATATGTTGCATTCACTTGAAATCGGCAAGGCCCTCCTAACAACATATGACAAAAGTTCATATCAATTACATCACATTGTATTTTATCAAAATATATTTCATTACATGATACTTCCACCAAAGAGATTTCTATAATTCAAAATCTTTATTTATCCAGTCACACTTATATGGATCAGTGTGTTTCTTAGTCTTTAACCCCAATTTCTAAATCACATAGGATGAAACATAATGTGCACCAATGTTATTGTGAATAATAATATGAACAACTTTTTTGCAAACACTGAATCTTGTTTTGAGAATTTTGTGATGTTCTGAGTAAATATTCAGTACCCATAAATGAAAATTTTGTCTAAAAATTACTACCTCAATTAGATTTCAGTATGTTGATCAAATTTTAGAGAAAATTGACAAAGTAATGTACTACACTAATAATGTGAAACACCAATAAAAAGTGATCAAAAGTTAAATAAGACTTGCAACCTTTCTCTAATATCAATTGACGTAGTAGAAAGTTGAAGAATTGATAACTTGATCAAGTTTTAGCTTTGGTTGTGTTTTTTGAAAGTAAAATCACAACCTTGAATTTAAAAAGAAGTGTCTTAGTTGAAAACACTTTGCCTTGAATCCATAGAATGAAGAGATTTTGTCCCTTGAGTTCGAAAGGGATTGATCATAAATCCACAAGATCGAAAATGACTCCTTATGTCCATAGAGATACTGAAATCCTCCAGTAGAAAGGGAGAATTTCTAAAAGGAAGGGAACACGAAATTGATTGATAAAAATATGTCTCTTGAGGCTACAAAGGAGGAATCTATTTATAGGTCAAAATTAGTTATAACTAACCTATAAAGGGGGAAATCTGTTATAATCCTAGAAAATAGGAAAAAGAAAAAAGATTAAACTTTCTTATAAAAAGGGAGGATTCTTTTAGAAGGTCTCTGACGTGACTTAGTCGTTGTATAGTAAATCACGCAAATTTAAAATTTATGAAACTAGAAAATACGAATTTTCAGATATTTAGAAGTATTTCTGAACAAATATATCAATTATAATTCAATAAAACTTCTAAAAATAGTGATAATTTTTCAAGTCGATCAGAAGGATGTAATATAATATTTGGTAATTATTCAGAATTTTCCTCAAAGAATACTATTTTCTATGAATTTTATATTAGGAAATGAAAAAAAATATATATTTAAAATTCACAAAAAAGGAAAATAAGGGTGCGGACGTCAGGATGACGTCAGTGCCCGATGAACGCGAATTTGGTAGAAACAGAGTTCCTCCCAACGATTCTTATACAAGCGATTACAGATGATTTAATTGATCAAATTAAGATCTGTAAAAGTCGGAAGAATCATAATTGAATGAAGCATATCTTGGTAAATTTAAATCACATAAATTATCACTAAATGAAGCGAAAATTAAGTTGAAAGTAGAAAAATAGAGTTCTAGTGTTGCAGCGGCGATGCCTCAACGATGCACCAGAATTTTGAACATTCGGGGGGATCGTCGTGCAGTGTCCACGGCCTTGACGAGACTAAATCGTATGGTCGTTGAATGCACACGATTCAGTGCCAAAACAAAGTCCTAATCTTACCAATTTATGATTAATCAAAGTAATTAATTAGTATAATAGT